ACTAGTACAACGTCCGTGTATCACACAGGTGCTTGCTAATTTTTTTTTTCTTAAAATTTGAAATTAATGAAAAAAAGTAGTTGAAAATATAAATACTTTTTATAAAAAATATATAGTGAAAAGGGTCAAAATCTTTTTCACCCCATTATAAATCTATTCTTTCTTTTAACACACTGCCCCATCAAATAACTTCTTTTACACCCCAAAACTCACGAAATGCTATGCGATATTACAGTCGCATGTCCAAATGAACCAGCGCATATCCAAGCGGACGCATAATTTATGACTATGCGAAAACATTTCGCATTTTTGTAATCGCATATCCACATCCAACGCATAATTTACAAATATGCGAATATCTTTCGCAGTTTTAAGAATCGCATATCAAAATCGAATGCAGCATAATTTACAATGATTATGCGCCTTATTTCGCAGGGCTATATCGACCTTGCAAATTTATGACTGTGCGAAAACGTTTCGCATATCATTCGCATTATTTGTTGAATTCGCATTTTCTGGAAATTGCATATCCAAGTCAATCGCATAATTTACTGGTATGCGAAAAACTTTCGCATATATCCACCGGATAATTGACAATGATGCGACATTTTTTCGCTCGCATATTGAAGAATCGCATAACAAAATCGAATAAAGCATAATTTAATTGACGATAACGCGCCATTTTTTCGCAGGGTCATATCGTCATGGAAATTTTACGACTATTCAGAATTTGATCGCATATCTGTCGCATAAGTTACGCACCTCATTAATTGACTGCTTTTTCACAGGTGAGGATTTTGTCTGTGCATTTATCATGCAGCCAAAAACAGTGATCTCTAACAATTCAACGTCTGCACCAATCTTCTCTACTGCAATTTTCTGTTTCTTTCTTTTTAATTCCTTTTGTTGTTCACTTAGTTGAATGGCTAGCACCCGTGTTAGAGTATGCGTGAGCTATGGTGGTACGTTTTCCGGGGGTTCATATCTTGGTGGAGTGGCAGAGCTGATGAGAATAAATTACGGCCGACAAATGTATTCTGAAGTAGTTTCTCGTGTTCAAGCATTATTGAAGGCCGATCCTTGTAATTTTGAGTACTTATTGTGGGCAGTATTTGATGGAAGGGAACGAAAAGTGAAGATGAAAATTGAATCCAGTGAGGATATCTTAGAGCTGATTGAAGAACAAAAAACTCCCAACATTTACGTGGAGTTGGAGAAGCGAGTAAATGTAGGTGTTCTGGGGACGGCGCGACAAAGCTTCACGCAAATGATGGCGTCCCAAGGTGTATTTCCGAGTTCTTTTGGTGTTGGTAGTTCTGCATTTTCCCACGAGGCCCCATATTCACATCAAGCAGGCCCTAGTTCATTTACACATACTGGATATCCTCGGGGTGCTGATGATCAAACCGCGGGTTGTTCGAACCAACCAGGTCATTCTCGTGACGATGACAATAATGATGACCAAACCAACATGCACAATGGTGACTCAAGCGACGAAGACAAAGAGGTACATGAGAAGCAAATGTTCAAGCTTTTCAGGGCGTGGTATAGCGAGCATATTGAAGAGCTAAGATTAATCACCGACCATATTGAGGTTGAAAGTCTTGCATATATGAATCGAGGTAGCACCCAACAATCCGACGTTGAGCCACGAATGTGGTCCCTTCCTATGCCGCTCACGACAACTGGATCAGATAGACAACCCATCCACTTACCCTCGAACAATATAGAATTATCTTTGGGGTCTGTCTTTCTTTCGAAAGAAGAGTTGATTTGTGTTATTCAACTGTATCACTTGCAACAAAAAGTTGAGTGTCGAACACCCAAATCCTGCACTTCTAGGTTAAAATCTATTTGTCGGTATGAAGGGTGTTCTTACAAGTTATGTGCAAGGGCAAACCGAGATGTATGGAGAATCACTACTTTGAAACTCGAGCATACATGCGAAGGGAGTTTGATGCACAATCGACACCGTTCGGCTAATTCCAAGGTTCTCGCTCATATTTACGCATCAACTTTTCAGACAAATCCCCAGACGGTATCTACACAGAGAATTATTGAACAAATGCGGGAGGAGCATGGTTTGTCGATCAACTACAATGTGTCCCTCCGAGCAAGACACCGTGCTTTTGAAAAAGTTTATGGAGGTCATGAAGAATCATGGGGGCGGCTTCCCGGTTACTTGCACATGTTGCAGGTTTGTAATCCAGGTACAATTGTCGAACTGCAACGAGATGGCGAGGTATTCCAACACTTGTTCTTTGCTCTAGGAGCTAGCATTGAGGGCTTTCAACGAGCTGGTGTCCCGGTAATTGTGATAGATGGTACCAACTTGAAAGGAAAATACAAGGGCATTATGTTTGTTGCAGCCACATTGGATGGGAATCACCAAATCTTTCCCCTCGCAGTTGGCATTGGTGATGTAGAGCGTCGTGAGACTTGGAGTTGGTTTTTGACTCAATTGAAAAGGGCCTATGGTTGTCCTGATAACCTCCTCATCGTATCGGATAGACATGAGTCTATCATATGTTCTCCCAATAGTGTTCCCCGAGGCGCATCATTCATTTTGGTATTATCACATCACAAAACAAATGAGGCCTTTTGGGAAATCTATCTTGGGCATATTTTACAAGGCGGCATATTGTTATCGGCGTGAAAACTTCTATCGTTACTTGTCATCCATCCAAATCCTAAATCCCGAAGCATTTAAAAAGCTAACTAATGAAATTCCGGTAAATGCTTGGGCGAGGTGTTTTACACCTGTACGGCGCTATGGATTCATGACATCCAATTCATGCGAAAGTTTGAACAACAAACTCCGTTGGGCCAGGATGTTACCCGTTTGCTCATTGTTGGAGTGTGTTCGAGCAACGATAGAGAAATGGTTTGTTGTTCGGCGTGCATCCGCCGAGGGTTGCAATCATCCGCTAACGCAGTGGACTCAATTGCGGTTGGATTCTTTATTCGAGAAAGGTCGTACTCTATCCATTACCACACTCGGCATGCAACGTTATAGGGTTATGGAAGAAACACGATCCTACGTGGTAGATTTAGAGGCAAGAACATATGATTGTCGTGTGTTTGAAACAGATCTACTACCTTGCTTACATGCATCTACGGCTATTCAGTAATGTTTACCAAACAACATTATCGCTTTTTTCTTTAAAAAAAATACTATAAATATGATGTGCATTTACGATATGTAACAGGGAAGTCGGGTTAGATATAATGGATTTCGTTAATGACCATTACAAGACCTACTCAGTTGCAAGGATGTACGAAAGCACCGTTAGCCCCGTCCCGCATCCAGATGAATGGCACTTGCCCCCGGAAATTATGCGTAAAAGGTAATTCCGCCAAATGATCCCAAACAAGCAGGTCGGCCACGGACTCAACGTTATTCCGCTGGAGAAGGATCATCACGTCGAGTAAGGCGTCAGCAGATGTGCTCACGGTGCTGGGTCACCGGGCATAACAGGGCGAAGTGCCCTCTATACGATGGTGATAATGACTTTTTTTCAAATGAAGAAGGTCAAAATGCACCAACTCCTCATCCAAGACGCCCGAGGAGATGTCGTACATGTAAAGAAACAGGTCACAAATCGTCATCTTGTCCATCACGTCCAATCCATGACAATTAAGATGAAGATGGAGTTTTTAATTGTAAACCAATTTAACGAAAACAATACTTTTAACGGGAAAAATACTGTGTTGGTGCTCTAAGTTGTGACCTACACACGATTGACTAACAAAAATTAGTGAAACTGGGTTGATTGAGCGATTTGCATAACATGTCCCATAATAATCGCACAATTGGGTTGATTGTGCGATTCCCATATCATATCCCATAATAATCGCACAATTGGGATGATTCGCCTAGTCTTCAACCGCATAATTAACGAATCGTATATCCAAATCGAAAGCTGCATAATTTACGACTATCTGCCATTTTTTTCGCATATCCATATGGACCGCATTGATTGATTGTCTGCACCGCATATCAAAATCAAAAGTGCTTCGCATATTGTTCGCATACGTTACGCACCGCATTGATTGATTGTCTGCACCGCATATCCAAACCGAAAATGCTTCGCATATTGTTCGCATAAGTTAAGATTCGCATCATTTAGGATTATGTGGCATATGTTCGCATAATTTAAGATTCGCATATCCAAATCTATAAGGGTAGATAGTAGATAACTATCGATTATGCATATTGTTATCGCATATATAAGAATCGCATATCCATATAAAACCTCGCTGATATAGCCACACTGACGCATAACGGTCCATATCATTACGGCTCAGAGGTGACCAAGTCGACTCGAGCAAAGTCGACTCCTCCAATAGGCTCTTCATGATACTCACGGTTAAGGATCCCGGCACTCGTCTAAATCGACGTACACATGTCGACTAACATAAGTCGATTTCCTCCAGGACGATGGTCAAACGTATCGGGATCCACTAGCGGTTGAATACGATCCAGTCGACTCGAGTCGATATCTCAGGTCGACTGAAGAGGTCTCGCAGTTCATAGATCTCGACAGTTCGGATACACTTCAGCGTATCGAGGGAAAGTTAAGGATAAGAAGGAAGCTAAGGAAGGATCTAGAAGCTGACTAGGAAATGGATGGAATGCGAACCGACCAGGGTAATTTGGACATTTCCAGTAAGTCGACCGGGGCATTTTGGGGAATTCAGGTAAATGTTTCACTTCTATATAAAGGAGCTGAGGTAACTCCAAAACCCTAACCCTCATTCATCCTACATTCTTCTCCATTGTTGTTGATGCTCTCTCAGAGCAGCTTTCCTCATCTTTTTCACATATTGACTTGAGCGTCGGAGGCTCTACGCCGGAAACCCCTCCGGTGTTGAGTTCTTGCAGGTGTTCTTGCGGTTCAACAATGGTTCGGAGGCCATCAAGTCAGATCTGAGCTCATCTATACCGGTTCATCCTAGATCCGGACGATTTCTCATCGGTTTGTTCCAGATCTGAGAAGAGACCCATCATTTTGGCGCCATCTTTGGGGAGTTCTTGAAGGAATTAAGAGCTTTACACCTAGTTTGGATCTGTCCCCGATGGCTGACAAGGAAGGATTCCAGAAAAACTTGAATGAAGATTTCAGGGCCGCATGGACAGACAAGCGACCCCCGCCGATTCCCAACCCCAAGCCGCCACTCCAAGTGTTCGGTTTCCCACCGTTTGGGGCACACGCGCCGTCAGGAGGGCGTATGGGGGAAGAAACGCTTATCACCCCACCGGGGGTCCAGATCCCAGTGCTCACTCAAGGGGAGGCCAGTCACGCGAAGAGCACGAGCGGAGAAGTCAACGGTCGTGAGTCAACCGAGACGTTCATAAGTCTGGGAAAACAGCCTGGACCGCTCGAGCCAGGAAAGAGACCGCTGCCTCAAATTGAGGAGCAAATGTTAACCATGACACAGAACGAGATGCAGAGGATGATTGCCGAAGCTGTAGCTGCCCAAATCAAACAAACACCAGTCGAGCAACCCAGGGTCGAACAACCCCGAATCGAGAAACCCAGGGTCGAACAACCCCGAATCGAACAAGCTAGGGTCGAGCAGCCTCAAAATGAGCAGCAACCCCTTGAACGCGAACAACAGGCGCAATCACATGAGAGGCAGAACAGGAGGATAGATGATGAGGAGTCCTCTGTCAGAACTGTTAATCCACAAGCCAGAAACGACACCCTGGAGCAGCAGTTAGCGCAGGTCCGAGACTTGCAGGCTCGAGTGGAAGGAAAGAAAATAGGAAGCTCGAGGGGACACCCTTTTTCACAACATATTCTAGACGCCGATTTGCCTCAGGGATTTAGGGAGCTCAATATCTGGTATGACGGGTCGACTGATCCCTCTCGGCATCTAAGGAGCTTAAAAAACATGGCAGTACTGCACCTTATAACGATCCCGTTCAATGTCGAGCGTTCTTGACGACCCTGCGAGGACCAGCGCAGGATTGGTTTCATCAATTGCCCCTAGGAGCCGTCAGGGACTTTGACGGATTTAGCTCAAGTTTTCTAAACCAATTCGCAAGTGTAAAAGCCCAAGAAAAGTCTTACCTAACTCTGATAGGTATGCAACAGAAATAAGGGGAATCATTGAGGGATTATGTGGCAAGGTACACGGGCATGCGTCGATGTCCCCTCGGCCACCGAGGAAATCAAGTCGGGAGGACTCACTCGAGGTCTACTCCCAGGATTATGCAGAAACTCCCTAGCAAAGCAACCCGGGAGGACGTTCGATGAGGTGTTAGGAAGGTGCGCCATATACATGAATGTTGAAGAAGCTGAAGCTGACTTTTTGCAAGCAGCTAAAGCAAAAACTGAGCGTCGGGACGAGAAGAAGGATAAAAAGCCTATCGCGATGACTGAAAGAAAGGGATCCCCGAGGTCTGAAAGAGAAGGACAATCAAGGGGATGGAGGGAAACTCAATATACTCCCCTGTTAGCTTCGAATGCAAGGATACTGGAGGTAATGGAGAAAGAGATCCGTGACAATGTTGTCAGGTGGCCACGGACGAGAAAGGATGGGCCGACAAAACCTAAAAGCGATTTGTATTGTCGATTCCACAAGGACTACGGCCATAATACCGATGAATGTCGGCACCTAAAAAATGAGATTGAGAGACTAATTAAAGCAGGCCATCTGAAGGAATTCATTTATAAGGATCGAGAGCGAACCAGTCGACGCAGGGAGAGAAGCAAAAGCCCTCACAAGAGAGCGAGGACACCCGAAAAGGAGGAGCTCCCTCAGAAAAGAGGATTAATTCATATGATATTCGGAGGGCCGACTGATGGAGATTCAAATCGGGCCAAAAAGGTATATGCTCGAGGGCACCACGGAAAAATTGAAGTGCAACAAGTCGAGGAAAACGGTCCAGTGATGAATTTTGGACCAGCATACATGGGAGAAGTCGAGAGACCTCACAACGATGCCCTAATGATCACAGCTTAGATATCGGGCTACGAAGTACAGAGAATCTTTGTCGACACGGGAAGCTCGGTGAACGTGATTTTTTACAATTGTCTTAAGCGGATGGAACTCGACATCGAGCTCTCACCCCTGCACACCTCACTTTTTGGATTTAATGGCTCGGAAGTCACACCCCTAGGAGAAACCACGCTCGATGTCGTCCTTGGGAAAGGCGACTTGAGGAAAGTGAAAATGGTGCGATTTGTCGTAGTCGACATCAAGTCAGCCTATAATATGATTTTGGGAAGGCCAGCACTCAACACATTCCAAGCAGTAGTGTCAACCTACCATATGAACCTAAAATTCCCCGTGGGAGATAAAGTCGGGGAGGCCCAAGGGGAACAGGGGCTGTCAAGAACCTGTTATCAAATTGCAGTAAGAACAAACCAACGAACGGAGGTAAAAGAAGGAAAAAAGCCGATGTCAAATGAAAAGAGACAAAGGGAGAATGACCTTGAGCCCCACGGAGAATTAATGGAAATTCAAATGAGGGAGAGAGAAGAGCAGACCACTAAAATAGGGAGAGAATTGGAAGATGAGTTGCGTCAACAGTTGGAGGGACTGTTGAAAGAATTCAGGGACATATTTGCTTTTTCCCCCAAAGAATTAACGGGAATCGATCCCGATGTCATGCAGCATAAACTTAATGTCGACCCCCTAAAAAAGCCCGTGAAGCAACGACTTAGGCACCATGGGGTAGAAATCGATAAAGCAATTGAGGACGAGGTGGATAAGTTACTAAAGGCCAAACATATCAAAGAAATTTAATACCCCGAATGGATATCAAACACAGTGATGGTGAGAAAAGCGCTAAATAAGTGGCGTATGTGCATTGATTTTCGCAATTTAAATTTAGCTTGCCCAAAGGATCACTACCCCCTGCCAAGAATCGACCAGCTGGTCGACTCCACAGCTGGCTGTCAATTGCTAAGTATGATGGACGCATCCCAGGGATATCACCAAATTCCGTTGGCTCCTGAAGATCAAAGCAAAGTTAGTTTCGTGACGAGCAAGAGGACATATTGTTATGTCGTCATGCCTTTCGGGCTTAAAAATGCAGGGGCAACATACCAAAGGTTGATGGATCGAATGTTCAAATCGTAGATCGGGCGAAATATGGAAGTTTACGTGGACGATATCTTGGTGAAAAGTAGGTCCTCGATCTCGCATGTGGAGGACTTGAGGGAAACGTTTACGACATTAAGAACATTTGGAATGAAGCTAAACCCGAGTAAATGTGCCTTTGGAGTGAGGGCAGGACGATTCCCGGGTTATGTAGTGACTGAAAGAGGCATCGAAGTGAATAAGGACAAAGTGCAAGCCATACTCGACATGGCCCCGCCAAAGAATGTTAGAGAAGTGCAAGTCCTGACGGGTCGAATCGCCGGCCTAAGTCGATTCATAGCTCGAGCTGCGGAGAGAAGTTTCTCATTATTCAAGTTAATTAAGAAAAAAGCTTTTCAGTGGAATGACGAGGCTCAAATGGCGTTTGAAAAATTGAAGGAGTTTTTGAGCGAACTACCGTTGTTAACAAAGCCAGAGCCGGGCGACGAATTGGTGCTCTATATCTCGGTGGGAATATTTTCTCTAAGTTCTGTATTACTGCGAGAAGCTGGAGGGGCCCAACAACCGATCTATTATACAAGCCGAGTACTTCAAGGCGCAGAAGCGAGATATTCCGAAGTCGAGAAGGCCGCATTGACATTGGTACTCACAGCCAGAAAATTGAGGCCGTATTTCCTGAACCATGTGATAATAGTAAGGACGAATTTCCAGCTCGTAGAGACCCTGGGTCGACCTACTGTGTCGGGTCGACTCGTAAAATGGGCAGTTGAACGTAGCGAATTTTCCATCAAGTACGAACCTCGACGAGCTATAAAAGCCCAAGCTCTAGCCGACTTTATCCAAGAAGGAACTAAAGGAGCAAGCAAGAAATGGATAATGCACGTCGACGGGTCCTCGTCAGCCAAGGGATCTGGTCTGGGAGTAGCCTTAGTATCCCCTGAAGGCGAAAAGCTCGACTTCGCCATCAGAATGGGATTTAAGGCCTCGAACAACGAGGCAGAGTACGAGGCTCTAATTAAGGGGATCCAACTGGCAATCGGGGGCGGAGCGACGGAAATCATGGCATATTCCGACTCACAGCTTGTTGTGGGGCAAGTATTGGGAAATTGCGAAATCAAAGAGGATCGGATGACAAAATATGTCCAAGAAATTCAGAACCTGGTGCAAGGCTTAGAAAATTTTGAACTGACACAAGTGCCTCGAGAAGAGAACAAGCGAGCCGACTGGCTCGCAAGAATCGCAAGTTCGAACAGAGGAAAAATGGGGAATCGTATTACCACCCTGCACTTAGAAGGGAGTGTCCTCAGTGAGACAATGGAAGTCGATGAAAAGCAGGATTGGCGAAAAGCAATTCGCAAGCTATTACAAAGTCGAGTGCCAAAGGGAGATAAGCAAGAGGCGGAGAAAGCCGCCCGATATCTGAGCAAATATTTTTAGATTGAAGGAGTCTTGTATAAGAAGTCAATGGTCGGACCCTACCTGCGATGCGTTTCTGAGAAAGAAGGGGATCATGTCTTAAAGGAAATCCATGAAGGATGTTGCGGAGCGCATATAGGATCGTGAGCCCTAGCTGGCAAAGCTTTTTGAGCAGGCTATTATTGGCCCAAGATCCGAAAAGTAGCCGAACGATTAGTGCAAGGATGCGACAGATGTCAGCGCCATGGTCAAATACCCCACGTTCCAGCCGAAGCAATGACGACAATCAACTGCCCGATCCCTTTTGCTCAGTGGGAAATCGACTTGGTAGGCCCGTTACCGATGGGAACAGGGCAACGGAAATTCATGGTGGTTGTCGTCGGCTACTTTAGCAAGTGGGTGGAAGCAGAGCCTCTGGCGAAAATCAACGAAGACAAAATGATACAATTTTTGTTCAATAATATCTGCTGTCGATTTGGGATCCCAAAGATCTTGATTTCAGATAATGGAACGCAATTCCAAGGAAAACGGATCCAGGCGTAGTGTATCGACATGGGGATCAAGCAGCGATTCGCCTCAGTTGTGCACCCTCAGGCGAATGGCCAAGTCGAAGTGACAAATAGAACCATCTTGCAAGGGCTAAAGAAAAGACTAGAAAAAGCATCTGGTGCCTGGGTCGACGAGCTGACAATGGTCCTATGGGCCTATAGGACGACCCCAAGAAGTTCAACAGGACAATCACCATTCCACATGGTTTACGGAATGGACGCTCTATTGCCCATCAAAGTCGGATTGGAATCTCATAGGTCGGCATTCTACAAACAAAGGACCAATGAAGAGTTAGCAAAAGAAGCCCTAGACATGATAGAAGAAGTGCGAGAGGAAGCCTGGATGCGATTCGTAGAGTACAAGCAGAAGATGCATGCAGCCTTTGACAGGAAAGTCCGCACCAGACGATTTCAAGAGGGAGACCTCGTCCTTAAGCGAGCAGATGCTCTTAAGCATGTCGGGAAGCTGGAAGCCAACTGGGAAGGACCTTACACCATCACCAAAGTGCTCGAAAGGGGTGCATATAAACTTGAAGATGGCGAAGCACGACAGTTGCCGCGATCCTGGCACGTGATCCATCTTAAACGCTTTTATGCTTAAGATAATATTTCGAATTTTTTTGTACTGAACAAAGGCCAATCAAATTCAGTAATGCAATGACTCCCAATTTTATGTTTAAGTTGTGACTTTTACATTTCTATGTCGAATTTATTATAACTAGAAAAATCAAATCCTTCGGAACGACTACAAAAAGTCGACTTAAGCAACTACAAAGTTGTATGCCTCGAGCGAAATCTCGGCAAGGCTATAAAGGCCACGACTACAAAAG